CCCCCCCCTTCCCGAAATAACATTCCTCAAAAACCTTTAATGAATTTGAACTAAATTAGCTGAAAAGTTGGATGACACTTCAAATATGTTTTGCAGGTTTTGAAAGGTAATTTTATGCATAGATTAATGCTGTGTTACCAACTTATATTTATTTTGTTGTTGTTAAGCACAAAGCTACACAATGGACTATCTGTGATGTGGTTACTCAGGTATCGAAACCTGAATTTTAGCATTATTAGCCTCCGGACTTACCTCTGAGCCACTGGGAGCTATATATTTCTAAAAAAAGTAATAAAAATCCCAGATATCTGTTGTTTTTTGTTTTTTTTTTTTCAGAAATAGGAACTCATCACTATATATATAATATATATATAGATATCATTTCTTGTTATTTAAGTGATGTTACTTGTGTGTTTGTCTGAAGTTAAATAATAATAACTTGTTCTACAGAACAAGCCTGGGTTAAAGTATCATTGACTAAAGTAAAATCATTTCTTAATATCACAGTGGAGTTTTTGTTTTGTAAATTTGTGTTACTGGTTCTTATAAGGTAAGGATAACGTCCACATAATTTATATATTAGACATTCTTCTTTACATATTTCAGTCGTCTAATTATATACTTTATAAGTACAGACGGTTAATCACACTTCAGAAAGTATTATTTACATGTGCTAATGTAGTGGCGAAGCGTGATAGTGTAATGCCACCACTAATGGGCCTGTGGTTGAAGGAAAATGTCATAACCTTTCAGGAGAAAAATATTTGTATTTTTAGTTTGTTGAATCGCATAGAACTAAATAACACAAACTTTTGGCACGAGATCCTTCTGTGTTCTCCATAGAAGCTGAAAAAGTCATACAGTACAGCGTTTAGCATAGTAACGGACTCCATAACCTCACCCCAGATCTGGAGCAACACCAAAAATCCACAAAATGAAGACTCTGGTTATGAGAACTAACTCTTCAACTGAAAAAGGCATTGCAGTGAAGTTGAACTGATCTCCTGTGGCAGTAAGAAGAAAATATACTAGACTTTGAAGATAATAAAGGTTCACAAATCAAAATCTCACAGTTTCCAGGCACCTTTCAAAATAAAGATAACCAAGGATACAGTCCCATTCGAATCATATTTTTGTCAAATCATGAAGTGCAATTAACTTCAGTATAATAAAAACATAATGATAGCTGAAAGGTATGAGAGAAATACCCTTCTTAATAAAACATTCACTTCTGCTTATCTGCTTAGAGAATTTAAAAAGAAAGAAAAAGTCTAAAAGCCATTTGATCATGAATTAATTAATTAAAAAACAAAAAAACTGGAGTTTTGAGCTCCCATAGTGATTTGGGCCTCTAAATCTTGAAACCATTACTACACGATATGCGAGCATATAATTGTTTTCCACCTTCTTTAGCTACATAGAAAAGTTTAAAAAAATTTAAGTTGTTTAGTTTCCACGTTGTAATGGCGGCAAACATGATCCAGAAAGTTTTTAAGATTGTTTTTTCTTCGTGCTTTAATTCTGCCCAAAAGGATTTTGCAGTAAAATATAGTATCTGGGTTGAAAGGATTAGCACTGTAATATCCTTTGCTAGTCAGGTTGATTAAATGTATCAGCTGACCAATGCTGTTAAAGAACAAAAGTCACGAGATGACGCTGTTGACTAGACAAAGAAAGCGAGTTTACCTGTTGAATTCAGGCACACTTTCCTTAGTCAGTTCGAATAGGAAATCACTAAATTAAGACGTACTTCCAGAACACCTTGCTTAGTTCTACGAAAATTAATCTTGAGGGAAAGAAAGCTGTGGAGCTAAACACAGCCTAGTAGAAGCGAGTGTCATTCAGTCTGTGCAAGTAAACACTTCTACTTTATATTTGTTTGTAATAATAAATATGTTTTGCATTTATTTACATTTTTCCAGGCTTATTATAAATTTAGAAATTTAGTCAACTTATCTACTATAGAACACTTCCCTTATTTCTTTATCGAATCTGCTGTTATTTATGGGTTTGTCCATTTGATACTTGTAAGAAAATCGGTTTTATCTGAAAATATTACAAAAATAGTATTTTCATTTTTTATATTTTTTCAATCATTTTACTTAAGGTTATTTTCTGATCACACACTTGTACAGATTGGTTTCATAACGTCATAATTCTTATCGTCAAAAAATATGTGTGGTATTTTCAGGTTAAAATGATTTCCTCAAGAGTGTGGAGTAGGTCCATTTTATAACAGATGGACTGGTAGGATAAACTATGAAGTAATGCTGAATTCAGCTAAAACTAACAGAGCCTGAAGAAAAAAAAAACTAAACACGTTGTGCAACACAGAAAGAGAGCAATCTTTATTTATCACCACAACAAAAACAGGGTGCCTTTACTCGCTTTCTGAACACTGGGTGGTCGCCTTTCGCTGGATTTGTGAGTTGATTACCTGGTTTTCTCCCTTCAAGGTGTCTTCCCTTCAAACAATTCACTTAAGATCAGGAACAAAAATGTTTACCCGAAGAAGATCTATTCCAGAATATTTAGGTCTAACATTTCCTACTTAACGGGAAAGGTTGGATTTACCAATAATGACTAGTTATTCTCATTCAAATATAGAAAAAGCTGCAACATACAGATATCGTCTGGTCTACCATTGGAGGACACTAGCTGTCGAAGTTCTTGTACAATGTGCTACATTACATCCTAATTCCCATGGGCAGAACAGTTGTTATCTCTATTGGATGACAAAGGACAATGACAGCTAGAACGAAATCAACTAAACCCCTTTCTTGGTTACATGTTATACAAAACTTAGAACAAACGACAATTTTTTAAAATTTCTGCTTTATAATAAGAAGACAGACAGCGCGCAGTATATCTGCATACCACATGTGTACGTGTTTAATTTATATACATTATTGTGTATAACTAATTTCAACTGGATACAGAATTTTGTTAAGGGTGATTCTAGATGAGTTGTTTCTTCTATTAAGTGCTTTCTTGGTCTGCCTCGTCGTTTTCATTTTCTTTTATATCTGGTTAAGGCATTGATGTTATGGATTATAATATGTATCAACCATCGTCATCGTCATTAATCCCTCTATTCATTATAAACTACAGAATAAGTGAGCATAAAGAATATCTATGTTTACCTGTATAGCCTGGTACCATAGAAGAAGTAAATTTCAAATCCGAATCAACAACTTTTCGTTTCGAGATAATTTCACTAGGCCTTTCTTTCGGTAAAACCTCTTTTGAAATTGATCTGTTAGGATCTGATTGCTGTCGTCTCTTGCGTTCTTCATTCACGTGCCTGAGTAATTCATGAGTAGTTTGTCCGTATGTTGCCCCCACGTGGAATTTTTCTCGTGGACAGTAACCCATATACCTGAAAATATGAAAAAGTCATCCGTTCTTTTATGCGTATATCTACATATACTCGTCAATATTGTTATTTATCTACACACCAAAAGGTCGACAGTTGGTACTGTCTATATGTAGTTTAAAAACGTCCACAGGCCCGTACGCAGAATATTTGAAAGGGAGGTTCTAATTTCAGATATCAAAAGCTAACACAAAGCATACTAATTCTGTGGAGGTCTGGGGACATGTCCCCCCCCCCCCCCAAGAAAATTTGTAAAAAAAGAAAAATAGGTGCTATAAGATAAAATCTGGAAGCAATTCTGCATGAAATATAGCTTAAACAATTGCATGGCTGTTCAAAAAAAATCCACAACCATCCAATGAAAAGCCAACAAATCATCATTCCACTGCATAGGAAGATGGACTTAAATTAGCATAAACATGTATGTTTTATTATTGTAAGGTACTGCACTACTTACATGCAGAGTAGTTATTAATTCTTAAATTATATTACTAATTTAACCAAATTTCTACAACAATAGTATATTAGTTATTTCAGTCATTGGTCATCATATACGTACATACAGTATATACACAACTAAGATAACATGTTAGCATGCTCCATTCTTTTTGGGGTGCTTTTCTATAAATTACTTACATACAGTTTCAATGTTGAGAGCAGTGTCATAATAATTATGTATTAAAGCTAGAGCACTCAGTCTTTCTTCGGTTTGTGTACACCTCAGGTAATTAATTATTCAATTGGCGGAGAACAGATGTCGAACGTTCACATGAACACGAACAGATTTTTTTTACGTCACAAAAATCTGAGGTTCGTTTGAACCCTCCACCCTTGCGTACATGCGTGGTCCAATCGTTACGCCCCCCCCCCCCAATAGCACAGCGGTATATCTGCGGACTCACGACGCTAGAATCCTGGTTTCGATACCCGTGGTGGGCAGTGTACAAATAGCCCATTGTGTGTAGCTTTGCGCTTAACTTAAAAACAAACAAACCAATCGTTACGCCCCCCTCCCAATAGAACAGCGGTATGTCTGCGGACTCACGACGCTAGAATCCGGGTTTCGATACCCGTGGTGGGCAGTGTACAAATAGCCCATTGTGTGTAGCTTTGCGCTTCACTTAAAAACAAACAAACCAATTGTTACGGTAACTTATCTTTGGAGCCATTAGATACAACTTTGATTACATTCATTGATCAATATCCGATGAACTTGTCGGTATGCACGTAATTATCTTTTCTTACCACTACTGGGGAGTCTTGTTAGACATATTGATTTTACTTACTGCCAAGTTGATGCAGTCATTAAGAAAAGTCAGGCTGCCCAACAAAAACTCACCAGTAATGGTAAGAAAAACTATGGTTAGGGATATACAAAGGTAACTAATTTTTTGTTTGTTTGTTTGTTTG